CCATGATTTAAGGGAAATCTAGCCAAAGAATTATGCCCCATTTTTAGTTACTAGGGACTGAACTATCCCAGTATTGAGGCAAAATAGTACAAAATAACTAATATCAAACTATAAACTTAGCTTTATGTAAGAGTTAAAACCACTAACAGAATTCCAAGGGATCAAATCTGTTAACTGCATAAGAGATTTCTGTATGTGCGTGTGTGTATATACACTTGTAATAAATTAACACCTCATATCTAGTAAAAGATGAGAATTGAAAATCTTGGTATATTACACTGTAAAACTTTTAAGCCTTTATTGTAGAATCTTATTCAATTTATGTTACATGGTATTATATTTTGACTTTTCCAAAGTCAGTTTTTGAAATGGCAAAATAAAAATATATCATTTTTTTTCTTTTTCAACACTTAGTAGTGTTAGTTTTCAACTTCAAAATCATTTAAACTTGTTCCATAGATATTGCAGTCCTAACTTTATTTTGAAAATTTGAAGCCTACAATGAAGTTAAAAGAATTGTACACAGTGAGCACATATATCCTTCTCCCAGATTTGCCAATTTTTAACATTTTGCACCACCTTCCCCATATACTTTTTTGGAGAATCATTTGAAAGTATGTTGCAGACCTACTTTTCAAATGATCATGAAACTTCACTGCTAAATACTTCATGCATCTCCTGAGTATGAATATTTTCTTAAAGAGCAATAATAATATTTCAGTCCTAAAAGATTATCACTAATTCAATATTATTATTTAATATACAGTCTGTAAAAATTCTATACAATCTATTAAATTTCTCCAGTTGTCCAAAAAGTACCTTTTTTGCATTTCTTTATGATGTCTCTGTTAGTGTCTTAATTTATGCCAGGCTCTCCCACTCTCTAATTTTTCTGTTTTTAAATGATGTTGTTTTATTTTTCTTACGTCTAAGTCAGTGACTTATAGAATGTTCTTACTTCCCGGTGTGTATGATTGTTGACTCATGATTAGATTCAATTAATATCTTTTGGCAAGAATACTGCCTAGGGGAAGCTGGGCATTTCTTACTGCATCACAACAGAAGGCATATAACAGTACGTCGTCCTGCTATTGGTAATGCTAAATTTGATCACTTGGTAAATGAAGTGGTAATCACTGTATTTCTGTGGTCTTAAGGTACCATTTTTCTTTATAATTAATAAGTAATCTGTAGGGTAACACTTTCAGAGACTATGTATATCCTGTTCCCTCACAGCTTTCACCTACCTAATGGTTTTAGCATCCATTGATATTCCTTGCCTAAATCAGTTTAGACATGTGGGGTTTCAAAATGGTAATTTTAACTGTTATTCCTTTCACATTTATTGATTGAATTTTACAGTTGTTACCATCTTGATCTCTGATAAAAACTAATTTAAATCAGAGCTGTTAAGCAAAGCAGAGGGATAAATACTGAATGTACTCACTTATAAGTGGGACCTAAGAGAGAAAGAAGGAAGGAAAAAAAGACCACGGTGGTGCGTTGGACTTGCAGAGGGAGAGAACATACCTAGGGATACAAAGTGGAGTGGGGAAAGGGGTTGGGGGGTGAGGTTGTGGATAATTGGGATAATTGAATGGGGGACATGGGGTATAATCACAATTTGTGGTAGTGGACATGCTGCCAGTATGGATCTGGCCATCACATCTTGGGCACGAGTGGTGACAATTAGCTTTGTATCCCATGAATATTTATAACCAATAAAAAAAAAGAATTAGTGAAACGATATAAACGTTTGTGACCTAGAAAAAAAAAATCAGAGCTGTTATATCAGTGTAGGTAGGTTGTTCATAACCCCTACTTCCTACTGCCAGCTTAGATTTGTATTCCCATATTTAACTAGTATTTCCAATGAAACACTAGTGTTCATTTGAGGTTCTAGATTTTCTGAAGAAACTACCTGCAGTATATAATCATATTGCTGTGTATTACACTTACAAACTGCTTAGGGATGTTTCGGTGCTTCCTCTTATACCCATGTCTTGGTATTTTATTTTGCCAGTTCTCTTAATTGTGGTTAGTAGATTGAATTACAAAATATGTTCATTAACTAAGGAGGACCTTGACAAGGGAGAACTATGTAGAACTTTGAGAGAGGAATAAACTTTTAAATGACCAAGCTAAATCAAACAGTTGTCTGGAAATAGAACCATTCAGTTTAGGATAAATTAATCACTGCTTAATTATGATGAGAAAATAAATGATAAAATAGTTATTGGTTTGTAAAGCATTCACTTGAATTACACACTGAATAAATTTTAAACTCAGTCTACTTTCACCATGCCATGGAGCATGTTTCCAGGTCACTTTTCCTTGAGTCCAGTTGGTATTCGTGAAAGGAATTCAAGCCAAATATAACACTTTATTAGTCTAGTTGTAGTTCAGGTTGAGAGGGCTTTTTACATTTGCAGCATAGGAAATTCAATGTGTCTGAAGGGAAACTTATAAATTACAAATAAGGTAAATTGCATTCTTAAGATGCTTTATATATCTAAACTGGAAAAGGTTGGGAAAGTTAAATCCAGAGTAAAGAGTGATTATTGTTCTTTTTAAAAATTTGCAAATCATCCATAGGACAGAAAGCTAAAGACCAGTGATTTTTACTGAGGGAGAACTTAGGAAACTGCCAGTTTTAAAATTAAAATGTCTGGCATAATGCTTTTCCTATAGGTGCTCAGTAGCATTTATGGCTTTCATAAATTTTGACAGTTCATTTTTTATTTATAAGATAATTGATTATATCTAAACATGTGACAATAATGATATTTCTTCATGTTTCAGACTATCCCCATAAATATGGTCCACAGGGGGGCTGTGCAGATCATTCTGTATTTGAAAGGATGAGGAAATACCAGATGACTGGAGTAGAGGAAGTAACACAGGTAAAGATTTTAACATTAGTTTGCATTTAAAAAATGGAAAGGAACTTGGGCATGTGTTTCTGCACTTAAAAATGTATGTTCTAGAATTTCTGAAAGATTTATACCGACGTGGGGAAATATTTGTATTTTTTAATGCTCAGAGAGGCTAGAAAATTTGCCAATAATAAAGAGGTGGTGCTGAGATTTGAATACAAATCTGTGTGACTCAGCATTATGTTACTTGTACAAAATATACTCTGTCTTACATGTCCTATCATAAAATTTAATAACTTAAATCTGAACTTATGTTTTATATAAATGTAGATATTTGTAATAGTGTTAAAAGAAAGGTGACTGTATTAGTCCTTTTCTGTTGCTTATAACAAAATACTCAGAACTGGGTAATTTATAAGAAACCAAATTTATTGCTTAGAGTTTAGCAGGCTGGGAAGTCCAAAGTCCAGGGTACACATCCAGTGAGGGTCTTAGTGGTGGCAACAGTGACCCAGCAGTCTCACATGGCAGAAAATGCAGAACAGAGAAAGAGATAGTTCCTCATGCACTATTCTTTTAAAGCCCTCAGAACCATGCCCATATCTGCCATTATTAGTCCATTCACTACAATATGGTCCTACAATCTAATCACCTTTCAAGGCCCTGCCTTTCAATGACCATAATAGGATTTCCCACCCTCTTTACACTTGTCACAGTGGGGATAATTGTTTTGGAGGGACATTCAACCTAAGGCAATGAACAACTGGCCCTGGTCTGGCTGGGGGTTCCCAGTTTTAATGCTGAAAGTTCTATGTCCCTAGACAAACCAGGATGGCTGATCACTGTAGTAGAAATATCAGTGCTTTTGATATTTCAACTGTATGTTTTTTGCCATTTGACTTTTGTTCTTTTATTCGTTTTTTTTTTGCCTTCTCCTTCTTTTAGGTGAAATATAGCTATTCAAAACATAAGTTCAAAAAAACCCCATTTTTTCTTATATGAGAAAAGATTTATGATATATTTTGGACATCCTTTATAAAAGTAGTAGGGTGGAGTAATGTTTCTTGAGCCATGCAGATTTGTATTCACATCTATTTCTTGATTTGCAAAATGGCATAAACAGTTCTATTTCAGGTAACTCTATCTTGAGTATTGAGATTTTATTCTTGTATTTATTGAACAAATATGCATTGATCTTTTGCCCTATGTTAGAGACTGTGATAGATTCTGGGAATATGTGGTGATTAAGATGAAGGCTTGTTTTCAAAAAGCTTTTAGTTTAATTGGAGACACAGAGAAACAATCAAGGTAGTAAGAGATAGAGAAGATTAAGCACAGGTGATACTCAACACAGAAGAAGAATTGCTAACCTAGCCTTTGAAGTATTTGAGGGCAATAATCAGAAACTAAAAGAATAAACAGGAGTTAGGTTAGCCATGAGCAAATGGAAGGAATATTCCAAAGCAGTAGGAATAGTACATAGAAAGGCCAGAGAGATAGAACTGTAAATAATCTTTAACTTTGGGGTGGAGTCCAAGACTGGAGTCTGGGAGACTAATTAGAAGTTATTTGCAGTTATCCAGTTGAGAGGTGATAGTGGCTTTTATCATCAATGTGGATAGAGGGGACTGAGATTTCAGATTGCTACATATGATAGGAGAGTTTAGCACAGTGGCCTGATATAACATTACTCTACAAAAGTAGGTTGCATTTATATGTATCAGCAGTAGACTACCAGAAATATAACAAAAGATGACATTATTAATAGTATCAGAATATATCACATATTGCAGAATAAATGTAACAAAGAATTACAAGACCCATATGAGGAAAGTCATAAAACTTTTATAAGAAATAAAGAATTGATTTTAAATAAATGGAGAGATATATACTATATTAATAGGAAATAATATTTAATATCATAAAAATGTCAGTTCTCCCCATATTGATTTATAGACTCAATGCAAGTCAAATAAAAATCACAACAGACTTATTCACAACATCCAGTGGGTATAAAACGTTTTACAGAAAAGTAAGGACTAAAGTTGAGCCCATCTAAAGGTGGTGAGCAGGAAAGAGAGATTTACCCTAGAAGGTATTAAGACTGATGGAAATTGAGTGTGATATTAGCCCAGTGATGAACAAATTGACTAGGGGAATCAAATAGAGTGCTCAGGAACATACCTACACCTGTATGAACTTTTGTTATGTGGTAGAGATGTAATTTCAAATAAGTGAGGAAAAGTAAGGACCATTGAATAAATGGAGTCAGAAAAATGTTTATCCATTTGGAAAAAAATGAAGTTGGGTCTTCATCTCACATCTTATTTAAAACAAAACTATAGATGGATTAAAGTATTAAATGCCTAAAATAAAAACTTTGAAACTATTAGAGTGCAGATTTCTCTTTCCTGCTATTTTGGAGTAACTTGTATCCATCTAGGCCTCGTGCAAAAAACAACTGGAAAACTGAAAACATATGTGAAACAATTGTTTTCAAACGTTGGAGAACAGGCAGTGCAGTACTGAGATCTCTGAAAGTGAAGAAATAAGTATCTCTGATTTTCCTGACTGACCGGAGTCCAACTTTCAGGTATGGCACAGGGAAGTGGATCTCAGGAAGAGGAAGTAATACACAGCAATTTTGCTGATTTGAAGGGTCAGAAGTCAAAGTTCAGGAATGCTGAGATGTCTGGATTTAAGGCCAGAGTACCTGAGAGGGAAGAGCTACGCTGAGAAAAAGCTCCAGATACCTGCACAGGGGTTACCTCACATCTTAACTGAATACTAAGCTGTGCCTGCACAGGGTGAGATTCTATGAAAAAAAACTACTGGGGAATCTATGAATGACTTATCAGAAATTACACTTGATAGAGATCCCAAGCCATGGTAGGAGTAGGACTAACCTAGCCCTAAAGTAATGGTTACTTCACATCTGTCCTAACCAAGCAGAAAAATAAGCCTCAAAAAAGTCAAGGTGATTTTCAAATAAATAAGCTGCCTGTCAGAAGAAAAGCTCAATAATACTTGTCAGAGGAGGACACTAAATATGGATACTCAAGAATGTAACATTCACAACATCCAGCATTCAAAGAACATTTCTGGGTAACAAGAAACTGAATATGATCCATAATTAGGAAAAAATACCCACTCAGATGGAAACAACCAGAAATTACAGGTATTAGCAGATAAGGATTTTAAAATAACTATTATCAATATGTTCAAAGAATTGAAGGAAGACATGAACACACAGAGGAGATAATATAAATTATAATAAAGAACCAAATAGCACTTCTAGAACTGAAAAATGTGTTATCTGAAGTGAGAAATTTAACGGATAGGCTTAAGAGCAAATTAATTACTGCAGAGGTCAACATGAGTAAATGCAAATAAAGGACAGTAAAACAAATAGACACTCTCCAAATCTAAATAGAGAGAGAGAAAATAATGAGTCCAGGAGGAGGAGATGTGGAAAAAAATATTTAAGAATTAATGCCTCCAGATTTTTAAGATATGAAGAAAAATTTCAATCCATGATTCAAGAAGCTCAAAGAAACTCAATCAGGATAAACACAAAGAAAACTATACTAGGGTATATTATAATTAAATTATTGGAAAAAACCTGAAAATAAGAAAATTATAAAAGCAGGCAAAGAAAAGAAAATACATTTACATACAGGGGAATAACGATAAGTATAACTGCTGACTTCTCATCACAGTGCAAACTGGAAGATATAGAATGACATCTTCGCAATATTGAAAGAAGACCTGTCTAACTTGGATTCTATATTCTGTGAAAATAATGTTTTTTAAAATGAGGGCAAATTTAATGTCTTTTTAGACAAACAAAAACTGAGAGAATTTGTCTCTAGCAGTTCTACAATTGCAAGAAATATTAAAGGAAGTTCTTTAGGTAGAAATAGGATATCAGATCTATACAAAGGATTGAAGAGCATAAAATAGTAAATATGTAGGTAAATATAAAGGAATTTTTTTCTCATATAAAAAATGTCTTCAAGAGATTATTACTTAAATCAAAATAATAATGTATAGTGGGTTTTTGTAATATACAAATAGTCAAAATTTCTGACAGTAGCACAAGGGACCCGAGAAGGAAGGATGGAAGTATATTGTGTTTCTCATGCTATAGGTGAAGTGGTATAATTTTGGCAGTAGACTGTGCTATGTAAAAGATGCATCTAGCAAACTGTAATACAGGAGTCAGCAAACTACAGCTTGTGGGTCAGCTGTTTGTTTTTGGAAGTAAAGTTTTATTGGAATACAGTTATACCCATTTATCAATATATTTTCTATGGCTGCTTTTGCACTGTAGTGGCAGAGTTGAGTGGTTGTGACAAAGACCTTTTGCTCTGAAAGTCTAAATGTTTACTATCAGGCTTTTTGAGAAAAAGTTTGCAATAATGTCCCCTGCCCTGGAGCAATCACTGGGGAAAAAAAAAAAGAGAGAGATAGAGTTGGTAGGCTAATAAAAGAAATCAAATGTAATTGAAAGTACTCAGTTAATGAAAAGAAGGTAGGAAAAGAGAAAACAGGAGCAAAGAACAGATGGGACAAATAGCAAGTAAATACCAAGATGGAAAGTTTGAATCTAACCATATCAATGATTACATTAAATGTGAATGAACTACACACATTAATGAAAAAGCTGAGATGATTAGAATGATTAAAAAAGCAAGACAAAATCCATCTAAAAAAGTGCAATTTAAATATAAAGATAGAGTTTAAAAGTAAAAGGATCCAAAACAGTCATCATATAAGCACTAATCATAAGAATGTTAGAGTGACCATATCAATATCAAACAGTATATTTCAGTTCACAGAATATCACTAGAGACAAAGACATCTCATAATGACAGAAGTGTCACTATTGAGAAGAAATAACAGTTTTAAATGTTAGTTAATAGTGCAGTTAATAGAGCTATGAAATACATGAAGGAAAAATGACAAAATTGAAAGGAGAAATAGATAACCCCACAAATTATAGTTGGAGATCACACTCATTTCTTAGTAGACAACTTTATGGATTGATAGAGCAAATAGACAGAAAATCTGTAAGGATTTAAAACACTTGAACACCACTAGCAAACAGCCTGACCTAATTGACATTTATAGAACTCTGCTCAACAGTGGCAGAATACACATTCTTTACAAGTGCACAGGGGACATTTATGAAGCATATACTAGGTCATGAAACAAGTCTTGATAAGGTTAAAAGGATTGAAGTTACACAGAATAGTTTCTTAAGTCTCAGGGGAATTAAATTAGATATCCGTAACACAAAACCTGGAAAATCCCCCAATAATTTGGAAATTAAGCCATACACTTCTAAGTAATGCAGTTTGAAACCATTTTGAACTGAGTGATAACAAAAACACAACATATTTGTGAGTTTCAGCTAAAGCAATGCTTAAAGGAGAATTTAAAGCTTTAAATGATCATATTAGAAAAGAAGATCTAGAAAATAATCATACAAGCATCCACCTTAAAGAGCTAGACAAGGAAGTGCAATTTAAAATCTTAAGTAGAAGGAATAAAGAAAGCAACAGGTAAGAGTAGATAGATATCTTTCAGGTAGAAGATAAGCACAGAAAGATCAGTTGAAAATATTGATATAATTGATAAACTTCTAAGCTATTCTGAACAAGAAATAAAGAGAAAACAAATTAACAATATCAGAAATGAAAGAGGGGATATTTCTGTAGACACTGGTAGTTTAAATACATATTTTGGACACCTTGAGCCTGTATCAATTTGATAGGCAAATTCCTTTAGAGACAAATTAGGAAAAACAACACAAGCAGTAGTAGAATATGTGTGCGTGTGTATGAATGAGGTTAAATTGGTTAGTAATTTTCTGTCAAAGAAAACTTCAAGCCCAGATGCAACTTTACTGTTGAATTCAAATACTTAAGAAGAAATATCAATCTTAAGTCATTGTTAAAGTCCTCAAGAAAGTAAAGAAGGGAAAACTTTCAACACATTTTATGAGGCCAATATTACCTTGACGTTCATACCAGACAAAGACATTACAAGAAAACTAACGGACAGGCCAGTATCCCTCATTAACATAGATGTAAAATTTCTTGACAAATGATTCTAAAAGCTATATTGGAATGTAAAGGACCTAGAATAGCCAAGCTAAAACTACAACTTGTAGGAGAAAACAGGAGCATTTTTTGTGACTTCGGGATAAATAACAATTTCTTAGGGCAAAAAAATACCCTAACAAAAAAAAAAAATGTATAAATTGGACTTCATTGAAATTAAAAACTGCCTCAAAAGATACAGTATAAGAAAATGTAACAACAAGCTAGGGACAAAGAAATCTGTAACTGGTTGTGATTAATTAATGTAAACACCACCGCACTTGGACCACATAACTCAATTTTTTAAAAATGCACAAACCCGAATTAAAAAAATGAATGAAGCATTTGAAAAGACACTTCATAAAAGAAGATATCAAAAATATTTTGGATTTTGAGGTAGAGAAACACTTTGAATAAGACTTAAAATCTCTGACTATAAAAAAGATTGAAAATTAAGAGTGAAAGACACCTTAAAGTCAAGACTGAAAGATATCTTAAAGTGAAAATAAGTTATAAATTTTGAGAAATATTCACAATGCATAAAATTAATAGAGAATTGTCTTTAAGAAATAGAGAAGTATTTCTTCTGCTTAGAACAACTAATAAAAACCAACCTGGCCTCAAAATATAAATATTTAAAACATATATAAATGTTTATATATGTGTCTACATGTATGTGTCTGTGTCTGTGTATGTGTGTGTGTATATCTATTTGAAGGAATTGGAAAAATAACATAGCTTTGAAGAATTATGGGGCCAAGATTTTAGAAAAAATGTACACCTAAAAAGGTGAGCTTGGAATTTGGGGCTAACTTTTCTCCAGGAATGTCTTCCAGTTCCTGAAGAGATACCTGAGGTGAGCAGAACTGTCCAGACTCATGAGGCCAAAGATAATTTTGTTTAGGGCCTGCCCAGAAGAACTTAGATTGGGACCTTGAAGGGTTGCTCGCTAGGAGTAAGGGTGAATCAAAAAGTGTCCAGTGTCCCTTGATGAGGATTGAAGTTTCACATTATATCTTCTTAGTCCCTGATTGGATTAAGGTGATCAAAAATTGCTAGTATATGGGCCGGCCCGGTGGCGCACTGCTACAGTGCGCCGCTTGGGAGCGTGGCGGCGCTCCAAGAAAGGAGAGTATATAACAGGCATAAATAATAAATAATAAAATTGTAGGTTTATTTGTAGATAAATAATAAAATTGTAGGTTTAAACCCAAATATATTAGTAGTTATATTAAAGACAAATGGATTACATGCACCAATTAAAGGTAAAGATCATCAGACTGGATTTAGCAAAAACAACACAAACTCTGTTTGTTTTACAAAAATTTCCCCTAAAATATAAGGATCTAGAAAAGTTGAAAGTACAAGGATGCAAGACAAAACTTGCTGACTCCAGCAAAAATTATATTAACATCAGACAAAGTAGGTTTTAAGGCAAAAAAGCATTACTAAAATAGATATGTCATAATGATAAAAGGGTCAGCTCCCCAGGCTGTTAAAAGTCTTAAATTTCTGTCCATAATACCATAGCTTCAAAATACATAAAGCAAAACTCAACAAAACTAAAAGGAGTTTAGAAAGATCATATAATGGGAGATTTTAATCCATTTCTCTATAACTAAGAGAACAGTCAGACAAAAAATAAAATCCAGTAAAGATGTGGAAAATCTGATCCACTTGATTAATAAACTTGACCACTTTTATGTTAATTTCTCTGCTTGGAAGACTCCTTCATATTTAAGATTGACTTCTTAATTTAAAATTTTTCTTTAAAGAGTATTTTCACATTAGAACATTGTTTTTTTTTTTGTGGAGAAGAAAATCTTGCATATATAACTTCAACAGTAGCTAAGATTAACATAACTCCTTTTTGTATAGAAAAATATGATTGTAAGTATGAACTGCATTTCACAAATATGTGCACTTGAAATGCTTCTCAATATCATTTATAAATTCTACAGACTGGCACCTAGAGACCATCTAAATGAAAATCCCGAACAAAATAGCATTAAAAGTACACATAGGAGGCTTTTACCCCAAATATTGTTCTATTTAGGACTGTAGTATCTAGCTTTTTCAGTAGTATTGGTACTCAGCTATAATACAAACTTCCAAAAAATTAAATTTTATTGTGTGTATTCAAGGTATATAACGTGATGTTATGGGATGGAAATAAACAGCAAAATGTTTATTGTGGTGAAGCAAAGTAATATATCCATCATTTCACATAATTACCCATTTTTTGTGTGTGTTGGTGTAATACAAATTTTTAACTTTGTATATGTTCACATGGAATAATCAAGGGAAAAGGAAGATATAAAAGGTGAGTGTAAATTTGGAATTGTGGCTTAAAATTTAATTTGGGTTCTATTTTACTGTGTTATCAAAATTCACTTAAGATGATGCTTTTAGATGTTGACAAATATTTGACTGCTTGCTTAGATTCAATAACAGTGGTAATTATTTAAAGAAATACTTATTGGGTGTCTACTGTTTCCTGCTAAGTTTGTGTTAGGTGATAGCAGTATAGTGAGCAGATAGAGATAGTTTCTTTTTTCTGGAACTTATATTCTAGTAGTGGTTGAAGTGATGGTGGTGGGTGGAGGCAGAAATTAAGCAAGTAATCATACAAGGTTGTACTGTGTAAGAGACATGGGTACATGGTTCTGTGAAGTAGTATAATGGATGAACTGATCTTCTCTAAGTCTGAAGAAAGACATTAGAAGAGGCAACATTAGCATGTGCAAAGACTGTGGTAGGAGACAGACTGTGTTGGAGGATTGGAAAGAAAGCTTATGTAGCTATACCAAAGAAGGTTGGGTAATGTAGTAGGATCTCCCTGTAAAGTAATATGGAATGAGAAGAAGCTGTACAGGTAAATAGAGGCTATGCAGTGTTGATTCAGTGGAGCATGTATAGAATTTGGGGCTTTATCCTTAGAGCAATAGGAAGACATTGAAATACGCTATGTAGCAAGTGGGTATTCAAATTTGCATTTCAGAAAGATTGCAGTATGAAATATAGATTGAAAGCTAATAGTAGATCTAGATTGATTAAATCAATCTTATTGCAGTACTTCAGATAAGAAGTAATGGTAGTTTGGACCAGAGTGGTAGAGGCAGAGATAATGGGAAGATTCCCCTAGGTATTTATGAGATAAGTTGGACAGGACTGGGTGGTAGATTGGGTATTAGATGGCAGGTAGAAGATGATGTCAAAGCATTATAAACTACTGTAAGACATGCTTTTGATTTAAATGAATACATATTAAGAGGATCATTTTGAGAATGTTTAAAATTGAAGGAGTTGCTTGACTAAATGAGTCATCTATACGGAGGATATTATGAGACTAAAAGTGATGTTTATGAAGAATTTTTAATGGCATTGGAAACACCTTTGGTGTTACATAATAAAGCAGAGTATGAAATTGTTTATAATATGTATTCTTAACTATATAAAATTGTGATACTGAAGCATGCTATTTATCAGAAATGACTGTTTTTGACATATAGACAACTAAAGAAGAACATGCTAATGGTCCAGAACTTCTAAGGAAAAAACGTACAACTTCAGCTGAAAAAAATACTTGTCAGCTTTATATTCAAACTGATCATCTGTTCTTTAAATATTATGGAACACGAGAAGCTGTGATTGCCCAGGTATTTATAATTATGCATTATTTAAAGAGTTCTCATATTGTTTTGTTATACCTATGTTTTCCTTTAAAAATTAAAGGAAAGTTAATGAACGTATATCTCTTTTAGGGGAAAAAAGGGTATGTATTTTCAGTTGTGATGTGGTAAAATATTTAAGATAAGTTGTTGCTTTGTGTTGCTTCGCCCCCCACGGGTTTGTCACCCCACTTCCTCTGGGTGACGGAGATGCAAAGGATTACTCAAAGCCCATCTCTACTGAGCAGTGAGAGGCCCTGAAGTGGTTAATCTCCCACAGGAATCCCTTCCTTGGGAAATTAACACCGAATTGGAGTTCTCTTCCTGCATTTATTTTCCAGACCAGGAAGTTACAGGAAGAGACATAGGTGGGGTTATAGTTTAACAGTATAGGCTGGTAACTTTCAGTGAAACATGCCAGATGACATTCCAGTAGACAGTTAAGTGGTCCTATCAACAACAGTTTGATCTTAGCAAACATTCCTTCTTAACTGCAATTTTTCAGTGTCTTTACATAACAATCAGTAACTAGTCTGTCTTTGAGCCAGCAACCTGCTGTGCCGCAATCCTTATCTTGCAAGAGACTTATACCCTGAGGGAAATTTCCAGTCCTCCGCAAGGTCAATATTTGAAACTGCAAGGCTTTGGAAAACCAGGCCCTGTGAAGTACATATGCTTTATAGTATATTCCACAATAAGTACACAGGTAACTGAAAGACCAGTTAGGATATTTTAGTGTCATTTAAAAGAGGGATATAAGAAAATGATTTCCTGAAGGAGATGATGACACCAAAGCTTAGCTTTGAGAGTTGAATTTTCATTTGCAGTCATGAAGGAGGGAAGGATAGAAGAATCCTTCCAACCGTGTTTAATTTCTATTCTGTTTTCTCATTGAACTTAGCACTTTCTAATTTACATTATTATTTGCACTTGTGTCTTCATGAACCTTATTAAAATATACAAGTTCGAGGGTATCTGTCAAAATGTCCTTCATGTTGAAAGTACACAGTGAGAAAATGATTAATGCACTTTTGACTCAAAGAATTTGAGACTGAGGGTGGAGGTACCACTAGTATAAATGATGAATTCATTTTGGTGGTAGGGATGAGCTTGTTTTTGGACATGTGTAAAAACCGGGTGATCATTCTTTTAGGATATTGAAAATGTGGATCTGGATCTTGGGGAAGGTTAGCCTTGAGCTTTCTGCATGGAATTAAAGAGTACAAAAGAGTTAAAATGTGGGGGAGAGAATGAAATTGAAAGTGAAGAAACTAGGGGATATCTGTATATAGTGAATATGATGAGGAAGAGAAACTAGTAAAGAAAAATATAATAGAGAGGTAGGAAATTGGGATTAGCCAAGGAACAAACAAGTTTTAAGATAAAGTGCATCACTAATTGAATTACATTGCAGAGATATCAAAGAAAATGATTACAAAAACTAGTTGATTTTTAGTTGCTAGAAGATTATTGATTAATTTTAAGCAAACTTTTAGTAGAGTTGTAGCGATGAAAACATTGCAAACAGTAAGGAATGGGTTGGCAGAGGGAGTGAGGATTTCAAGAAATGTGAAAAATAGATTAAAAATATGGTGGCTTAGAAATAACATGGAATATTTGGGGATAAAGAGGGTATAGGGGAATATATGAGCAAGTTAGTAGGAAGAGGAAAACAATTCAGTAGAGAAACAATGTAAGATATAAGAGAAAGAAATACATTGGTGTTCTTGAATATCCACAATGTCTTTTGAAGAAAAACAACATTCAGTAAGGATTGGGGTCAGGAATAAAGAGAAATTACTGTTTAAGGAAGAGTTACACTTTGCAGAAGATAGGGATGGATAAAGATAGGGAAATTGAAGGTAAGGAGAGGGGGAAGTCAAGATGAACTCTCAGTAAAGTATGAGGTATAATCATCTATGTAGAAATGTTTGAACCACCACTGTTGGAAATGGAGTTGAAATAGTGAGAATTGGATAAGGGAATTGCTAGGACCTAGCCGAGTGAGGTTATACAGCATGAATTTGTGATGGATCCTATCAGTACTATTATGACTTTCATTAGCAATATTTGGCAGCTTGGGCTACTTTTGAAATCATTATTAATGCTTTTACTTGACTATCTTATTTTATATTTATATAGTTTTTTTGAACATAGATTTGAAAGTATACATACATATTTCACATCAAAGGTAGTGAGAGTGCTTTTTGTCAGTGAAGTTGGGGAGGTTGTTTATGGAGTGGTTTAGAAGCTGGTGAGTTTAGTTGGGAATCAGCTAGGTAAATATGTGCTTTTTGTGTTATATCACTGTGCTTATCTCTTTCTAGAATTTAGCAAAATCTGTCAAATCTTTGGTTTTTTTGGTGGCTGGCTGGTAAGGAGATCTGAACCCATTGGCTTTGAGTGTTATAACACCGTGCTCTATCTAACCAACTGAGCCAACTGGCCAGACTGAATTTAGCGAAATCTGAATGTATCTTTTTAATATTTGTTTTATCTCTCTCCTCCCATCCCCCACTATAGTAAACCTCTATATATTTATAAGGACCTTCTCTATTTTGTTCACCACTACATCTGCAGCACCTAAAATAGTGCCTAGTGTATAAAAATGATCAATAAAGCTTACAGAATATGTACTAGTGGAGCAGTTGAAGGACTAAAGTCAGGGAATGACTGAGTGTCCTGATATTATCAGGAAAACTTTTTCAGAAAATGTTTGGGCTGAGTCTGAAGGACAAATAAAGATTACCTAGGCATAACTAAACAGCGTGTGAAAAGGCATAAATGTGGACCTGGTAGGATGGATTGATGAAACAGAGTTTTTATATGACTGAAGCAAGAGTGCATGTTTATTTTTGGCCAGAGAAGAATCTGGAAAGACATAGAATCTCTCCTCTTAGGCCCAGCTTACTAATTTTTTTTCATACTCTGTCCAGTTTATGATGGTAGACATTTTAAAATTTGAATGTGGTGGAGCATGAATAATTCTTGATTTTGGAAATATAAATTTATAATCTTTTTATATTTCAACATTGCCTCTAAAATGTTGGTTTTTTTAAATCAATAGATATCCAGTCATGTTAAAGCGATTGATACAATTTACCAGACCACAGACTTCTCCGGAATCCGTAACATCAGCTTCATGGTGAAACGCATAAGAGTAAGGAACTTCAGTAGTTAAAAACATTAAAAAAGCGAAACAGTAAGGATCATGTTTACAAAAAGAAAAATGCTTTTCTTTTACTTCATTTTTATGCATTAAATAGTTTAAATTAAATTGTATCTACTGATGTAGTTTATCTTTACTCTTGGGTTTTACACATACACATACACACGCACACACAGAGATACTTGGAATTATGATTTAAGAATTAAATCTAAAGGGCCTTAATCTGGACTATAGTAGAGTTAAAGCAGTACTGTTTCCTACCTAACCAATTAACACACCATTAAGAAAGCCCTAACCTCTTAATAACTACAGTTTAACTACTTGACTTTGTTTCCCCCAACATTATCTTCCAGTTTCTTAAGCTTTGCCTTGTGTGGTATTCTTCAAGATTTGCCTTGTGTCCTTGGTGCTTGCTCCAGGGGAGAGGGAGGATAGATGCAGTATTTAAATAAAATTAGAAGCTGGAAAAACAGTACTGTTATCTTCTTGAAACTTCACAGCTCACACTAATATATATCGTTTTGAGAAGTCCTTCAGGAAAGAAACCCCTATTTTTCTAAACTAATTTGACCATGGGACCTTTTTTTTTTTTGTATTAACATCAACTGAGACTCCAAAAAACTACAGAACACATTTTGAGAAATGCTAATCCAGAGCCACAGGGTCACCAATTATTAATTTTAATGTTATAAATTATAAATAAGTGTCAAATTACTGAAACAATGGGCTAATTGTTTCAGAAATTTTCTGAATTTTCTAAATATGTGTGTTTAGCTTTTAAGAATCTGAATTTATAAAGTAGATATACATCTGAGTTAAATAAAAAAGTAACTCTTTTATAATAAAATTATTTGCCACGGAGTTTCTTTATATTTATGCTCTCCATTTTTCTTAAAATGGGTTTACTAGGTAAAAAAAAAATGTACGTGGATACTTCAAAAAGTTCATGGAAAAGTAGAATTAAAAGTTAATACGAATCTTCCGATGAACTTTTTGAAGTCCCATCATATATCCTAGAAGATTTTAGTGAATATATGTATTTAATTACATAGCTGTAGGTGGTTCTTATTTTTACAGGTAGTATGGTTAAATCTTAAATTGGATTGTCTTAAGGTGAAATATAGTTTGTAAGAAATGTTCATAATCAGTTGCTTTCATGTATTTTGAGAGCAGATAAACCCTTAAATGAGCAACTAAAAGTGATAAGTGGTGTTAAGTATTGCTGTTTAGCAGGCAGAGCAATAAAATGCAAAGTAGTGAAAAGTAGAGAACATTTGAACAAATATTAGTGAAGCACTTTTTTTTTTTGAGTAAAATGATTTGCATTGTGAAGAAATGCTTGTGTACAAATGAATAATGTGGCAGTTGGTTGTTTTCAGATCTTAACTGACATTAAAACTTCAGTTTAGTAGAAGTTTGGCATTAGAACAGATTATTCTTCAGATTGTGAAGGAGGAACCTGTACTGTGAGTACAGCAGCTAAGTATCAAAAGAAACATACTGGAGGAACTCAGCTTGGAATAATAAGAGAAGTGAATTGAAAGTAGAAAGAAAATAAAATTCTTGCCCATATTTGGGGGGAAAAAAGAGAACTTGCAGTTAGTCGGGCTTGATTCATGTGACTCCCAGCAAGGACAACCAAGAAAATGTTTTGTGTGCTGAACTGACAGTTTTGGATTCAATATCTATTTTATATTCTAGTAATTAGCTAAAATAATAGGTTTCTATATCATTAAACTTGTCACAATATGGGAGATTAGCACTAAAGGAGACTTGCTCAGATGATTAAATTTGAGAAACCATACTTCCTTTATTAGAGTATTTGAAATCAAAACTTGTTCTTTCTTTCCAAGTGTTCAGTGTTCAGGAATCTGGTGAATACTTGTACAGAAATTCAACATTTTTGATTTTAATTCCCTTTCTCTACCTTAATCCATCCTTCTTCCCTCCCTCCGTCTCGCCTCCTCTATGACCACTTTGGGTATAGGGGTAGTGGGAACAACCCTAGAAGCCTTAATTCAGGCCTGATTTCCCTTAGGCCCTGAGCATATTGTCCAGGTGAGTGCAGAAAGATGTTAGTAGAGACTTACACTAAAGCTCTGCTAATATTAATTGCTTTTTAAATTATTGTTTTGGATTTTTAGATCAATACAACTGCTGATGAGAAGGACTCTACAAATCCTTTCCGTTTCCCAAATATTGGTGTGGAGAAGTTTCTGGAATTGAATTCTGAGCAGAATCATGATGACTACTGTTTGGCCTATGTCTTCACTGATAGAGATTTTGATGATGGTGTTCTTGGTCTGGCTTGGGTTGGAGCACCTTCAGGTAGTTTCTTTATGTCTTAATACTTGAAACAAAAAGCAATTTTCAGGGCAGATTGAATTTTACAAACTATGGGAGAACATAATGCCTGCATAATATCTTAATATACACTACTTGGGTTAGGCAAGATTTATAAGAGATTTCTTTTTTTTTTTTTTGTCTTTTTCGTGACCGGTAAGGGGATCACAACCCCTGGTGTGGGGTCACCCGCACTGCGCTCAGCCAGTGAGCACACCGGCCAGTCCTATATAGGATCCGAACCCGTGGCGGGACTGTCGCCGCGCTCCCAGCGCCGCACTCTCCCGAGTGCACCACTGAGCCGGCCCAAGATTTATAAGAGATTTCTAAGCCTAATGTAAATGGCAAAATAGGTGAAGCAGCTCTGTGTTTTAAAATGAGTACAGGGAACCCAAATGGATTAAAGAACTAAATATCAATAAACAAAAACAATAAAACTTCTTAAAGAAAACATAGGAGAAACACTTCAGGAAGTAGGACTGGACACAGACTTCATGAATACGACCCCAAAAGCACAGGCAACCAAAGGAAAATAAACAAATGGGATTATATCAAACTAAAAAGCTTCTGCACAGCAAATAAACAATTAACAGTTAAAAGACAACGAACAGAGTGGGAGAAAATATTTGCAAAATATGCATCTGACAAAGGATTAATATCCAGAATATACAAGGATCTCAAACAAAAAAACAAATAACCCAATTAAAAAATGGGCAAAAGAGCTAAATAGGCATTTCTGTAGGGAAGATATACGAATGGTCAACAGACATACGAAAAAATGCT